TTTAATGATTCTGAAAAGTAGTCACCTTATAACTTAAGCCTAACATTTAAAAAGTAGACTTACAAGTTGTTTGAAAGTTTTCTATTGTAGAGATGTCCATCAATCAATATCGGATCTTGTATGGAGATTTCTTAAAAAAGGAGGAACCAGAAGATGCATTCTTAGGTTGAGAAGCTACTCGCTTTCGATTAGCATTGTAGCAGGTCGTCGGAAACCTATCTCAGTCATAAGGGTTCAACCGCTACATTCTCTTCAACAAAGGTCACTCACTTCGACTACCACATTTGATGGTCTCGATTAGGCCAGGTAAGATAGTAAGGAGAATTATAGGCCTGAGATGGTTTATTAGCTGATAGTCAAGTGTCCAATACTTGAGACCTCGTTGAGTGATGTGTAATAAGATAAATTTACAGTTATTAAACATGTAACCAAATATTGCCTAACATACTTTATGATGGCATGTCATAAACCAAAAGTTAAAAAACAAACCAACACACGATATAGTTCATTGCTACTTTATGAGTCTTTCTTCTAGAGAGAGTTGATGAATACGTTGCGGCGTTTGAATGATCAAATGGACCGTTGGCAGTAGTCATGCCAGCCAAAGAAATTAGAGAAAGCAACCCCAAGTCAATTTCATTAATTAGTCTACTTGTAAACTTTTATGTACATAATGGGTTACACTCTCCTCATACGCAAAGAAGCTCCCTCCATGTGAGGGAGTATAAAACATTATGTGTACGGAAAGTATACATGTAGCATCACCCCAATTTCATTCATTCTTTGATTAATACATACCAAATTACCAAAAGCCAAGTGGCCAATTCTTGTACTAATCTTAAACATCTGCCATACAATTCGTTGAACAAAGTCTATAGAGGATTGGTTTAATTCAAAAAAATTCATAAAAATTAAAGTCAAAGTCAACAATTAATTTTAATTAAGTATTTATTAAAATTCATAATTTCTAGTAACTTTTCAATCATGCACTTCATCCAAAATTTAGTAATAATTTAATTTTTAACAAAATCAAATGAAAATTCTCAATATAGGAAATGCATAATGAATTTAAGTTTTATCAAATACTTTGTACTCATGGAAAGTTTGAACTCTTAATCGTTTAAGTTGTATCAAATATTTTTTGCACTTACTTAATAAAAAAAAAAAATAATAATAATAATAATAATAATAATAATAATAATTTTAGAAAAAAGATCTCTCAGACCGTACCAACGTGAGAAAGAAAAATAAAATATGGAAACATCATAGACAAAAAAACTCATCTAGAAGACTAGAATTGTACACTGTCCATCTAGAAGACTAGAATTGTACAGCGTCAAGTTCTTCCACAGTCCACACCACTATTAATATATACAGGCACACTAAAAAAGAGACATACAAAGAGAGGCACTGAAGGAAGAAGAAAAATTCATACTTATACCTAAGGGTTCAATAAACGAAAACCAGAAGAATGAGTTTTGCGGTGGTTTCAGGTTCCGAAACCCGCTTTCATTTGTATTCAACAACACCTAATAAACCCACCAAAAATTCCATTCCCGACAGTTTTTCAAGCATTTCCTTTAGTTCCCACTTGACAAATTCTAGAATTCTATTCAAAACTTCATCTGGGAAGACTCCAATACCCCATTCCAGGGTCAGTTTTAAGGCATTTTATGCACCAACGCAAAGCAAAGACAGTTTCTACGATGTGTTGGGGATTACAGAAAGTGGGTCAATTTCTGATATAAAGAAAGCTTATAAACAAATGGCAAGAAAATATCATCCTGATGTGTCTCCACCGGAGCGTGTTGATGAATACACCAGGAGATTTATATTAGCTAAAGAGGCTTATGAAACCCTTTCTGATCCACACACCAGAGCTTTGTATGATCAAGATTTATCTAATGGATTGGCGTTCAATTTTTCTTCTGGAAGAGGATATGAATATAGCCAGGTAAATCTCTTTACCCATTCTTTTTTCATTATTGATAAGTTATTCAAAAGTTATGGATGTTGAATACTGAATCAATTTCTTGCTTTGTTTTCAATTTCAAACAGAGACGGGACGAGAAAGGGGAGTGGAAAATAAAGTGGCAATCTCAACTAAATGAATTGAAGCAAAGGAAAAAGGATTCAGAAGGAAGAATGTCTTGGGGAGCTCGAATGCGAAGCCGGAGATGATGTATTAATTTTGCGGCTTTGCCCTTGGATTTAACTAATTGGCTGTGTATTTAATATTTAGAATACGACTTTCTACTCTCTCTCTCATTTTTTTTTTTCTCTGTATTAGTTAGAATTTCATTAGTTTACACGATAATCATCAGCAACGGAATGTTTCTGATAGATTCCAATGTATATTCTTCTTAATGAGTTCAAGTTTGAGAGGCCTCCCAAGCATAACTTCTTCCTTTTTTCTTAAATATTTATTTATTTACGGCTTTATGAGAGAAACCATCTTATTTTTTGTTTCAACCCTTTTCACATAGTTTGGGAGAAATTATAAGTTACCACTGGTGCTCTCGGGACATAGCCCAGTGGTGTAAAGGACAGGAGTGAGATTATCTCACACCTTGCTCGTAGTCACAGTATGTGAATTCAATTTCTGAGATTTGGAATTGGACTTCTTGTAGGTGCAGTACACAAACAGCTCTTGTTCTCTGCTTGCTGGGGCATATTCCGCGATTTAACTCCTTCACAAAACTCTAAGGACGGGACGGTAGAGCCCTCAAAGTTAGGGTTCAATCATTATAAGTTACCATTGGCGGACACACAATGAGGTCTGTGTGTCACATGACCAACCAACTTCTTTAAAATTGATTTTTATATGCTCCGGCCCTTGTTGTCATTGAAACTTGGTAGAATTGATTTTATTGAAGCAGAGGAACTCGTTGGAAAATCGATGTGTTGTCAGTTTCGATTCTATTGCTAACTACTCCCGTTGAAGAAAAACCCGTTGCAAACAGTTGAAGAGAACTCGTGTTCAATGTTCCACCGATCTCTCTCTCCCTCTTTGTGCGTGTTGTAAGCAATTTGGCTACCATTGGATTTTTAAGTAGTGTGCTATGTGTAATAAAAAATTATACATAATGATGTCCCCAACTCACATGAGTGGGGCCCACCTGAATATAAATATGCAAGTGGGTCCCATCCATGTGAGTTGGGAGACACCATTATGTACAATAAGAATTATCATTTTAAGTAACACTAATAGAATCTCATTACTACGTTTTGATTAGTTAAATTTATTTATTTACATATGTTTTTCTTCTTATTAGTTGTATGTCCACGACTTGTTTGCTAAAATGCCTTATTAGGTATTCAAACCTTTAATAAGAGTGTTTAGCTAAAACTTCTTATTTAAATCGTTCTTAATTCCAATTCCAAGGCCCCAATTCATTGCTTTTGAACAACATCTACATTTCGTTGGATAGTTTTGCTTTGTTTAATTGATTCTATTACTGTATCTCATTATCTGAAATTTAGAAATATATTTATGATTTGTGATGGATATTCAATGTGATTTGTTGAATTATAATTTGTGAATTGTGAGATTTTATTTGGGAACTTCACAAAAATTCAAAATATGGGCAACAATATTTGATGGATTTTCCTGTTGTCATTTGAAGAAAAATTTTCGGTTCTGAAAAGCTTCTAATATCGGAAATGGTAATAATTGAATTCTTGCTTTTTTGTTGTTTTATTGATTGTTTTGGGATAAATGTTCGAAATGTAATTTTGTGGGATTTTTGAATTTCAGAAAGCTGAAAGCTTGTAATATTTACATATTGTTTTGATTATAGTATATGAAGAGATAAATTTCTTCCATGTTTTGAGGAGTTCTTAAACCTTTTTTTATGAGTTTTTCGAATATATGATAAAGTTCTAATGAGTTTTAGCAAAGGATAGTATTATATTATTTAATACAATTTTAATGACATTTGTTGCGCAATGGATCCTTGAACTTCTGCATTTTGCCCCTCGAATCCCACTTGTCGTAGTCGGCACCAAATAAGTATGTTTCTATGAAAGAGGCTCCAATTTGTTTTGAGTTTTTTGTTGAAATTGTCATAGTTGTATTTTTTGTTGTCATCTTTGCTTATCGTGTGGGGAAAATAAGTCTGCTAAAAATCGACCCACATTTTTCTAATAAATTTGGCATTTTGCAAATTCGATTGTACCCCATTAACTCAAAAATGTATGCGTCCATCACTAAAAGTTACTATAGATATAAATTGATAAAAATAAGTAGTAGATGAATAATTGTCTTGAATTTTAAGAGATGCGTAGTTAGTATTATAGTTTAACTTTCAAATTATAATTTGAATCAAACACGCACTAAGTAGTACATGTATATGATTGAAATGTAAATAGTTGAGGCAATTTAAATGAATATATTTCACTCTTCTCTAGAAGTTTAAGCTTAGACAAAGTGGTTCAATAGAAACAAATGAATATTTATTTATTTTTCTACATGTAAAAATGTTTATTTTTAGTTTCGTCATTGCATACGTCATGAATTGTACAATGACGTGTATATATTATTTGATACGCAGGGTCTAAATCTGACTTGTGACACTTGGATGGGGACCAAACCGTTGTTTCGTTTGAGTCAATAGAAAAAAGCCGTGTCAGCAAATTCGATCCATTTCTCTAAGCTTAGCCACGTCCATTAATGTCTTGGAGCCCACTCAATTGACTCATCAAGACCATTCAATTTAACAGACATATACTTTATAATTGAAATGTTTTTCTAACATAGATATTCTTAAACAGTATTTTGATATTATTTTAATCATACATTCTTCAATAGAATAATATTAAATTCAAATTCAAAATTTTTCCTTATTTATTAACCACACATTTCTTATCAATATACAATTCAAAAATACATTCTTATAAAAAATAAAAAGGGCTCAAACAAGGGCAAAATATCTTTATTTTTATTTATGACTTTTTTTCAATTTGAGAGTCTTAGGTCCTGTTTGCGCCACATTTTTTCAAAAAAAATAAATTGTTAAATAGTTTTTTGAGATCATTTCATCACACAATTTTCAATAAAATAATATTACATGCAAATTGAATTTTTTTTTATTTTTTAACCACATTTTTTATCAATACACTACTCAAAAATACATTTTTATAAAATAATGTAGCTCAAATAAGAATTTAATCTATTGATTGATCTTTTGTATGTTATATTTTATAATACCAAATGAGGTTCAATTAATATTGAACGAAATTGAGTGATTTTATGAATAAGATTTTAGATTTTAACTACTTTATTAATATGAGAATAATTATTGATATCTCTTGTTCTTCTTTTGATACATATACTGTCCATTTTACACGTATTTTCTTAAAACAAATATGTTTGAATTACTAGAAAATTAAAAA